CACCTTCCCAATTTAATGATATTTGATAGTTCATCTTCCTCGTATTTCAGCTTCACTCATTCGAATAATCGTTTATTGTTTTTTCCATATCATCAAATTTCTTTTCAACTGATCCAAAAAACTTTTAATCTCACTCATTTCTACCCTCAATTCACTAACTTCATTCACCACTAAACCCTTTTTAAGTTCAACAACCCCGTGAACACATTTTTTTTCAAGTTCAACAACACAACACTTCAACTCCTTTATTTCACCCCTCATTTTATTAACTTCATGCACCACTCCATCCAATTTTGCATTAGTTTTTTCCTCAAAATCCTTCCCATCAAACTTAAAGGTATCAATTGTTTCATCGATTCTGATTTGTCTTTCACAAAACTTAGGAACAATTTGTTTGATTTGTACCAATCAAACATAAATAATTCAAGTTTCTTCATCATTTTTTCATTCATACAAGTTCCATTACTAGAATCTTTCTCTTCAATGTTCTTTTAATCCATGAGAGAAACCTTCAAAATTAAATTACAATATTAAACGAAATTGTTCAATGCTTAATAACAAAATCTAACTTTTATTACCTTTTCTTTTTAGTCTTTCTGATTTCAAATTTATCATAATTCAAACCACATCTCCTTTCCCCATACAAGCATGTGTGGTATCCAGGGGTTTTTTGGAGTCGACACACTTGCAAATTTGTGCAGAAATCAAATAATAAAACATGCATTCAAAACGAACTTAATCATTTTATCGCTACAATTCAATTTATTTAAATAAGTGTTATAATAAAAGACATCTTTAATAATCATTTACCTTTAATATTACAATGCAACCTTTTGGGTATTTGTGCTTTCTAGGCTTCTGAAAACTAACTATTGCATCTATCAATTTGTTTGCAACAAATTTCGCTCAATTTAGTTAACCTTTAGTTGATCCCCATCATAATTAATGTTTTTTTATCTCTCCCTCGAGATCAGCTAATGTAACCCTACTATTTATATTATACATCATGCTAAGTTTTTTCCAATCCCCCATCTCAATTACTTCTTTGAGACAAGTCTCCTCATTTTTTAGCCCCAACACCACTACAACTTCTTGAACCCCCAAAGGAAATAAATATCCATTAAACCTAATTCTAAAGTTTTTTATATCAAAATTTTTTATCAACTCCCAACACAGTTCCCTACAATTGGTTGTGTCGTTATTTCAATCAAAGTCTCAAATCCTATTTCTTTGACAATATTTAGTTTTTTTATTTCCTTTGAACTCTTCCATCAATTTATGCAATCTTAACAAGCTACATCTTATTGAGACTTCCTACATTTTTTGTACCTGTGATGCCATCTTCTTCATCTTCATTTTCATTCATTACAATATAATTTTGAGCAATATATGTAGTAATAAATAGTTATGTAAATGTAAATGTAAATGTAAATGTAATTGCTTCGATTAAAGCCATAATTGATAATTATAGTCACTGATTATGTACAACCTATAATGTTATCTACAACCTAATATTTTTCATTCAACCTATAATGTTACCTTCTATTTTTTTTATTAACCCCAATTATTTTTCATTCATTCAACCTATAATTGATACATTATATTACATCTTTTCCCTATAAATTAAACCATAATCCCTAAATCCAAATTCGTTAATTGAAAAAAATTATAATCTAGGGTTTCACGAACATACCTCTCTGTTATTCAAATTGCGATTTCAATTCAGTTCTTCAGTTTTGATGTCTATTACTCAGATGGAAAACTGATTCTAAATACGAAAACTCCTTTTTCTCTTATATGATTCTGGCCTTTACCTTCCTTAAATTGGTTATGTTATTTATAAATACTCGACATTTTCCCTATGTATCGAAATATGTGGAAAAGTTTGATACTTTAAAGCTTTCTCTTTTTCCTTTTTTTTTTAAAAATTAAAAAATATCGATACTTGAGGAAAAAGTATTGATATAATCTATTTACAAAACAAAAAGTTCAATCTAGAAACCAGAAAAGTTATACGTTAATATAATAATATTAGTTGAAATTTAAAATGTTACACTTCTAACCATCATAAAATAAGTTAAAAACTGTTAATGTTATTAATATAATTAACATTTTAGGTTGCGCCTTAGAATGTTATCAGATTTTAAGCTGATGTTGACTTATCACACAACGAAAAAATAAGTTAGTTACTATCTGAATATTAGGTTACGATATGAAATGTAATAAATCTCGAAAAATATTGATATTCTTTAAAAAAGTATTGATACTTACTGGCAACATAAGTTACCAGGTTAAGTCATTTTAAATTATTTTCAAATACTTGCAACTTAATATATTAAACTTAATTCAACATTTCCAGTAGTGCTAAACCTATTTTGTTAAGTTCCTTTTCAAAATTTTGATTACGCCATTTTTAGCCTTATATTAGTATGTCGTTCCTTAGAATTTTCCCTAAAAAGTTTAAAAAAAATTAGCGAATTGCTTGCGAACTTATCAAGTTGAGTTGTACTTTGCTCGATTTAGCTCGTTAAAGTCTCGAGTCGAGCTCGAGTCAATCTAAGTGAACCTTTATCGAGTTTTCACCGAGTTGAGTTTGAACTGCTCAACTCATTAAGCACACTTAAAAGTCTTTTTGGCCCAACACCCCATGCACCAAAATTATTTGGCCTAATAAGGAAACAAAGAAATTATTTTGCAAAATACGACAAATGCTACAGTACGGGGCAAACTTGTCACGTCGACATGATGAGTTTGGCTGAAAAATATTTTAAAATGGTCATAGGTAGTGGGTCCCATATGGGCTAATATTATAATATATTTATAGGAACGCGTCACATTGACGTGACAAGTCCTTTAGAAAGTAAATTTTTTATTTTTAAAAATTTAGTAATTATTTTAAATTTTTTTAAAAAAACTAGGAAACTCATCACGTGGAATTGATGAGTTTCTCTTGATTTTAAAAAAACTAATCGTTTATAGCCATTGTTCAATGAGCATTTGCAACTGTCAAGGAGAAACTCGTCACCTCGAGGTGACATGTTTGATGGGATTTTTGAAAAATATAGTCGTTTATAGCTGTTGGATTTAGGGTTATAAATAAGGGGTTTGGATTTTCATCATGTATTGTTAAGAAAAATTGAGAAAAAATCATATTTTTTTAAAGAATTCCTGAAAAATGTTTACCAAAGAAGAAATGATACGCCTTGATATTGTCTATATTTCTTCGATCGAACTGGGTTCGGAAGAAGAACGAGGTATTCGCCAATGAGGAATGATACTAAGAAATCTGCATCAGCGAATTATTATTTATCTACAACAATCCGGGTTGTATCCAAACCATATTTCTGTGTGGTTTTAAGGTAAAACCGATATTGATTTTGACTATGATTGAACATTGCAGGCATGAGACACATATTTTCCATTTTATGAGTGGTGAAGCAACGATTACATTGGAAGATATCGCTTACCAACTTAGTGTTTCCTATGTGTCTTGAAATTATAGCTACTGAACTTGATTTCGACATTTCTCCCTTCCTTCGAAATTATGAAACAAACGAGAAACTATATTTAACAACACCGGAAGAGAGGGAACAATGAGAACAAATGAAGGCCAAGTTCGCAAAGGGAAAGAAATCATCATCATTGACATCTTTGTCTTCTGCTTTTACCGAGTATTTTGCATCTCAAACCAGTTTTAGTTTTTATCTTCCATACCATGCTTCAATGGAGAGTCAACCGATTTGGGTTGGAGGTTCATGGGATGAATGCAAAGCACTCAAGATCTTCGACAGAACATGCGGGTGAGAGTGAATGTGATCATATTATATATGGTCAACAAGGTAATGATTTCGGTAGCCAAGTCGAGTCAATGACGACAATGATTGAATCAAATACCTTAAGTAGTCAATCACTGTATTTCGAAGGTGGATTTTAAGTGGATTGATGTTCAGTACACCTCTTGTTCAACAAACAACCGAAGATGAAGATGATTAAGGTGGACGACCACGACGTACTAATGAGCCTCGCGCCATTATCATTCGACCACTCCTTGACATCGTCAAGAATTACGAAAAATATAAATAAATTTTATTATGCATTGTCTTAGTTTGTAAAAACTTTTATTATTATTTTGTATGTATTAAAAAAAATTAAAATTATTTTTTAAAATTGAATTCGACGAAACTCGTCACGAGAGTTGAATTTTTTAAAATTCAAAAACTGTATGCTATCCAAAATCTATTTTATTTTTAAATTTCAGGGTAACTCGTCACCTCGACGTGACGAGTTTATTTTTTTTTATTTTTTAAATTATTTACAAAATATAAAAAATAAATTATTTTTTACGGACTCATCACGTCAAGGTGACGAGTCTTTAAAAATATATTATAATATTAACCGACGTGAAATCAATTAACTAAAGACTATTGAAAAATATTTTTTAATCAAATTTATCACGTCGACGTGACTAATTTATGTTGTATTATAATATTTATCATAGATTGTAAAATAAATTTGTATTACCAAATAATTTAGCCGCATGAGCTAATGGGCCAAAAAAATCCCCTAAAAACAGTCATCTATTCATAACCAAGAGAAAAAGCTAGATATCAGTATAAATAAAATTTCTACTTTTACAATATTAAATAAATTATTTTTTATTTATAAAAGCTACTTTTGATTATTTAAAACAAAAATATATTTTTTTATTTATTTGTTGACAACTAGGGATGTTCTTTTTTATTATTATCCATCTGATTTTCAAAACTTTGTCTAGGTTAATTAGTATCGATCTTGGCGTAAACTTAATTTTAATGGATAAATTTTATTTTGATTAATTAGAATTTATCTTGGACATATACTTAATTTGATTGAGTTTTTTAGCTAATTTTTTTTTATAATATGTAAAGATTTAAATTTAAAACTTGCTTAAATAATATTAAATTTGATTGAATCGAAGGGCTGTTATTCGTAGCATAGGTTTCTTAACTTTTGTTCTACAGACTCAACAGAAGAAATAGAGAATTTAAAAGCTTTCTCTTCTCTGTTACTAAACAGACTTCCGGCAAAACCCTAAAATCCATATTCTATTAATTTTTTTCCTTTACGAAATTTTATTTTCTTCCTTCATTTATATCTGGCTTTCACTCTCGTGGTGTTTTCCCCTTTCTTTCACTGAAACTTTCTCACTCGTTTTCTGTCTTGTGCTTTTTTTGTATTAATTATTCCTTTTTTCGCCTGAAACAAAACGCGTAGTTTGGATTGGGAGACGGTTATTTTTATAACACGGTTACGTTTTCAGGCGATAGCTTGGAATCGTAGCGGCGGTTGGTTATAGTCTTCATTCTCTTTCATCTTCCCTCTTTTAATTTTGTTAGAATTTCCCAATTCTTATCGTTTCCCCTTTGGGTTCAATTCCTAGCACTTGGGAATTTATAATCAAAATTTCATCTAGGGTTTTTAATTATATCTTTAATTTATTGTTATTCAATGTTGTTTTCCTAAAGTTAACTGGCATTTGGGCTTTTAGTAATGTTGGAAAGTTCTTTTTTACTTTGTTTTTCCCAAGTTGTTAATTTGAGATTGCAGAATTAGTAATCTGCAAATCCATCTTTTAATAAAAGATGGAAGAGTGGGAGACAGAGAGAGTTAATTATATAGCCTCCTAATTGACATTGACATTGCCATTGCCATTGTTTTCGTTGATACGCCTCGCACTTGTGTTAGGATTCTTTTTCGTTTGATCAAACAACCCCTTCCCCATTTGGTGAATGACCAGTTATATTCATCGACCCTGATTTTTCTGGTTTAAACGACCAGGGAGAGTTTGGGAGTTTGTGTAGGAAGAGAATCACTTTGCTGGGTTAGGGTTTGAAGAAGTGTTTTTTCCCTTTTTCTTTTTTAGTTTATGATGATCATATTCAATATCCCTCATGGAAAGTAGAGAACAAACTTTTGTTCCAGAATGGCTGAGAAGTAATAGCACTGTTACTGGTGGTGGCAATTCAGCCCACAACTTTGCTTCTTCTTCTTCTTCCCACTCAGGTACAGTTTCACCCACTTTTAAATACCTATTGCACTTCGCTTTTCATTTATACTTAATTACAATGTTACTGCTCAATTTGTATATTGTTAGACGCACCTTCTATATGCCCACTTTTTATACCCATTGCGTTTGCATATCATTTCAGGAATATGTAGTAACTATATGTTTCTTGCTATGTTAGATTTTTCTTCAGGGCATCATGTGAGACATAGAAACTCTAGGAATGTAAGTGATTTTGATTCCCATCGTTCAACATTTTTGGAGTGGACATCTTCGTTGAATTCACGGAGTAGTTCTAGTAATGGTTCTACAAAGCATGCATACAATAGCTTTAGTAGGAATCACCGCAATAAGGTTCGAGATAGGGATAACGAGAGGTTGAATTTTGGGGACCATTGGGACCTTGCTGCTTCTAAACCTTTAGAAAGTCTCTTAGCTGGTAGGGTTGAGATGGAAACATTGCACCGTTCAAATTCTAAGTTCCTTAGGAAGCAGGGTGAGCCTCTGCCTAGAAGGGTTGGGGTGGATGGTACAGATGGTATTAACAGTAACCATAACAATGACAATGATCTGCTTTCTGGAGTTTCTGTTGGAAGTAGCATCCATAAGACTGTGTTTGAGAGGGATTTTCCCTCACTTGGAACTGAGGATAGGAAAGTGGTACCTGAGATAACTAGAGTCTCTTCTCCTGGTTTGAGCTCAGCTTCTCAGAATTTTCCCATCGGTAGTTCAGCATTGATTAGTCAAGATGGATGGACCTCAGCTTTGGCAGAAGCCCCTAGTGTGGTTGGAAGTAGTAACACAGGTTCCTTGACTATCCCCCTAACTGTTTCCACATCATGTTCTCCGACTCTAACTGGCTCATCAGGTCTTAATATGGCTGAAGCACTAGCACAAGCTCCTTCACAGTCCCATACTTCTCCGCAGGTAACTGATCAGTGACTAAGTTCTTCATACATCAATTTGTGATCTAATTAGAAATGTTTGTTTCATACAGTTATTTATCAAGATTCAGAGGCGTGAGGAACTGACTATTAAGCAATCAAAGCAACTAATACCACTGACACCTTCAATGCCCAAGGGTTCGGTAAGAAACCCCCTCCCCACCCTTTTTGTTCTTCTCTCCCCCACCCCCAGCCTTTGATATGGGTTTCAAGTTACACTTTTATCAAGTGTACTATCCATTTCTTGTTTTAACTGATACAATTATTAGTTGAATTAGTAAGTTCCATAGTGATTTGAATTTCTTAAAGCTACAATTGGTGATAATAATAGGCTTAATGCAACAAAATAACCCTAACGTTTGACAATAGTGTCAAATATACCCTTATCATATTTTTGACACATTCGTCCACTTAACGTTTAATTTTGGGTAAAATATCACCCTCGGTGGATGGAAATCGTCAGTTAACTGACGATCAACGCCTGATGCTGACCAAGCATATACACATGGACGTGGATGCCGATGTGGCGTGTCCATGTCAGAGCTCATGATGACGTGTCAATGCCACGTCAGAATTTTTAAAAATAAAATAAATAATTATTATGATTAATATTATTTATATTTAATTATTTATGACCAATCAGAGAGTGACACGTGTCACTCTTTGATTGGTGTTTGTTTAAAGGAACCCTTAAAAGGAGAATGCCTTGGAAGGGGAATCGAACCTGGGCAATTGCTGTGGAATGGCATGAGTTTTGCCACTAAACCAAGCTTATTACTTGATTAAATAATGTACTAAATGCTATTTAATAGATACTTAGTTTGAATTTATTGAAAAATAAAACACGTGTTTATAATCTCACTTATACCTGATTATTCCCAAAATTCCCCTCATAATCTGTTTTGGGAAAAACTCCTCTTCATGTGAGTTTCCTTGTATAGACTTCAGATGGAATTATAATTGTCCTTGTTCATTTCAAGAGCTCTTCAAATGCCAAGATTAACTGAAGTTAGCAAGCTTCTTGTCATATCATGAAGTGTACTGAATGTTGCTCTGTTCTGTTTGTATCCTGTCTACTGCATGGATAAAATAATTATTTATTTAGTATTTTCAAAATTCTTCTAGGTAATAACTGCCTAACTTTTTGCCCCAGGTTCTCAATTCAGTGGATAAATCTAATGGCAAACCAGCTGTCAGAACAAGTGAGATAAATATAGCTGTGAAGAGTGGGCAGCAGCAACCTTCTTTGATTCATCATGGAAATCAATCTCCTCATGGTGGATATGTCAAGTCTGATATGCCGAAAACACCTGGGAAACTTTTGGTTCTCAAACCAGGATGGGAGAATGGTGTCTCATCCCCTACTCAAAAAGATGTTAGTAGCTGGGTTCACTGTGGAAAAGAGACCCTCTCTGTCTCAAACCCAGAGCCGAAATGACTTTTTTAATCTGCTGAAGAAGAAGACCTCAGCAAAGACTTCTGCGAGTCACTCAGATTCACACCTTCATATATCATCTTCTACCTCAGAGAAATCTGAAGTTACGAAGGAAATAGTTACTGACTCTTCGACTGCCCATGTTAATAAAAATGGTACTGCTGCAACTAGCAACGGTGATGCCTGTCAAGAGGCTCAAAGTTTTGCTGATGATGATGGTGAAAAGAATATGGGCTCTGCTTCTATGATTCATCCAGATGAGGAAGAGGCTGCATTTCTTCGTTCTCTTGGCTGGGAAGAAAACTCTGGTGAAGATGAAGGCCTTACAGAAGAGGAGATCAATGCTTTTTATCAGGAGGTAAGATACATTTTTCTTTCTCATTCTGTCTGTACTTTCCCATTGCTGATGGAACACATTTACTCAATAATTTTTCATTGAAGTTATTCTATGACCCATGCCTTAGTATAATTAGTATTTAGAATATGTACTTGTTTACTCTGTATCTCTCATTGTCTTAGAGCAGTAAATAATTTTACAAAATATACAAAATGTTTTTGTGCAATTTGATTATTGTGTACTCATTTGGTTTTGTAGTGCATGAAACTGAGGCCGTCTCTGAATCTGTGTCGTGGCATGCAACCAAAGCTGGCTCAATCTTTTGCAACTAATTTGGATGGAGCTGCTTCTGAACTGAGCTCCTCTGACTCTGGATCCAAAGCTTGACTTTCTTTGTCCTTACATAGTAAATCCAAATTTCTTTTTTCTTCTTTTTTTATTTTATGGCAGATGATTATTTTCCCCCCTTCTTTTTTGATTGAAAGAAAACTGATGAGTTGGGGTGGTGGTTTGGTTTGATGGTGCATTTTGCAAATAGTGCAATAATTCCTCTTACCCGTCTATAACACAGAATCTTTTAGGCTTGAGGGGGGCTATATTGATTGCAGTCGGGAGATGCTAGAAATTTGCATCTTTAGGAGATATTTCTTTCTTTCCTCTTTTACAAGAAATAGCTTATTGGTGATTTTGGTCAGTTTTACAGAATGAAAGAAGGAAATCAAAAAGTTCCATTCATTATTTACGTGTTAAGGAAATGTGCAAGGCAGCCATTAAGGACTTTGGTTCTATCCTGTGGACTCTTGGTGTCATGCTCTATACAATCTAGTATCTTATTTAGACATAGTTTCTACTTGAAACTATATGAATATTTAGACAAGTTTTCGTTGAACATCTTAAAGAAAAATGAGGGCATTATAGTCAGGCCTTCTTGGTGACCCATTCCACGTAACATGATTCAACAAGTTCATGTTATAAGTTCGAGCATTCAACACGTGTATGGATCATTTTTGGCCATCCACCATCATGCCTCTGTTACAGTGAGTTTTATGTTCCCTAAGTTGACCATTTCAAATGCGGATTTGAAAGCTCTATCATTGCGTCAAAGAGGTTGAAATATTGTGAGCTTCCTCGACCACTACCGGTGCACTGGAAGTGTACATGGCATAGTCGGTGGAAATATGATAAGGGTCCGATGAGTAGGTGAAGTAAGGGCACATATTGATAGTAAGGGGTGCATCCTGTTGAACCAGAATGGAAGCAATTGTATGGTCTATATTGCTTCCAAAAGCACCGGCAGATGGAGGCTCTGAGAGCATTTGTGGGAGTGAGGTTGTGACCTTAATCTGGGTAGACTAGGGCTGTAAATGAGTCGAGTTTGATTATTGTTGAGCTTGACTTGACTTGAAAACTTTAAAATGAGACTCTAAAGTTCGCGAGCTCAAAATTTTCAAATTCGACTCAAATTCGAAATCATGAATTGAAGCTTGAAAAATGTTAACTTGATTGAAACTCAAATTCAAACTCAAACTTAAAGCGAAAGTGCATGAAAACATTATATTGTATTTTACAAAAATGAACATGTAAATGTTATTATTTTAATTTTTTAAAAAATAAAATTTTAATATATTAACTTTTTCGAGTTGCACACGGACTTTTTGAGTTGAGTATCAAGTAGTTCGTTTTTGGCTCATTAAGAGAGTCAGGCTCGAGTTAAGTTCATTCAAGTCGAATGTTTATTAGGTCGAATTTGAATAGTTCAAGATCTGTCTCGTCTCATTTACAGTCATGTTGTGTCTCATTGAGGTAAGTACATTTTGGATGTTCATTGTAGCAGGGACATTGAGCCTAATGGTCTCAGAATAACTTCGTTGGCTATGGTTATCCATTTGAATGGAACATCCTTCTTATAAGGGACGGCTGGTGTTAGCCCATGCATTAGCCAATGATCACATCTTGTTGTAGCTCGCTATTTCCTCTTTTCTAGGACCGAGCGCAATTGATAGTCCTGATCCTCATTATGCTTCTACTACTAAGATTAGTGTTTACAAGGAAAAAATAAATTTTGAGACTCATTAGCCGTTGTTGAACACTATTGATGGTGATCAGATTTGGTGAATGGTCAAAATTTGGGTAAAACAAAAAAAAAATGAAGACTAATGAGGATCTAAATAGATATTATTTTAATACATTTTTTTAAACAGTCATTTTTAATGTAAATTTTTAATTTTTTAAAAATGATGTTATTTTTTAATAATAAAATCATATTATTTTAATGTAAATCTGATATTTTCAAAATAATATCATTTTAGTATTTTCAATCATATTATAATTAATGAGGGAGTAAACAAAAAAAAAGTGATATTAAAATCGAATGATAAAATTAAATGAAGCATATATGCATGGGCCATAGCCGAAAACATAATTAATCATCTTTCATTTTTTCTGATCGTTATTTCTATCCAGCCCATTGGAATTTTGAAACCGTCATCAGTCACCACCAGATGGGTTCCATAGACTCGCCGTCAATTACAGAGAACGGCACCTGTCGACGGCGACCACTAACCTTCTCCCTCCTTAAACGGAGCACGACCTGAGGCAACGAAGAAGAGGAGATCGAGCGTGCTCGCGCTGGAGGTGGGTACTCGCGTGTTGTGCCGTTGGACAGATGGCGAATATCATCCCGTTAAGGTCATCAAACGCCGTAAGATGGACTACGCTGAGTCCAATGACTACGAATATTACGTTCATTACACTGAGTGTAAGATCTCTAATATCCCTAAGATTTAGGGTTTTTAATTAAATTCCATTTTCTTAGTTTTTTTTTTAATTTGAATTGAAGTTTTAGAATTGTTGTGTAAGAAGTGTTGAAATTATATATATAGTTTTTTGTCACGACAACATTAGCAATATTTGAATTTTAGTTAACAGGAGGCTTGATGAATGGGTGAAGCTTGATCACCTTGATCTTGATTCTGTCGAAACTGTTGTTGATGAAAAGGTTGAAGATAAGGTAAACATCTGTTTCCAATACAAATCGTAGTATTTCATTTTCCTCGCATTTTATCTTTGAGGGTGTATTCAATTGAAGAAACTTGCCAATGAGGTTTTCAGGTCACAAGCTTAAAAATGACGCAACACCAGAAACGCAAGATTGACGAGACACGTGTAGAAGTAGTAAGTCAATGTAAAACTTTCAATCGGTGATAGGAAGTCCATTTAAATTGTTCTAAATGCGGTTGCTTTTGTGAAATTCTGTAAACCTGTAATAATCTGCTCTGTTGTTTTCTAATAGGGCCATGAGGAGTTAGATGCTGCTAGCTTGCGTGAGCTTGAGGAATTCACAAAAGTTAAAAATATAGCAACCATAGAACTTGGAAGATATGAAATTGAGACGTGGTACATCTCCCCCTTTCCCCAAGAGTATAATGATTCGTTGAAGTTGTACTTCTGTGAGTTCTGCCTCAACTTCATGAAGCGCAAAGAGCAACTTCAAAGGCATATGGTGAGAGTTCCCTTAGTATGGCAAACATTTTTACTACAATACTTTGTGTTGAAATACTTTCAGAAATCTAATTGTCTTCCTTGTATCAGTCCCTTTCTAGCTTTATATGCACTTAGTACAATGCAGCTTAGCACTCTGCATTGCAATTGCATATATAGAAAGCTTTTTGTTCTCTATGTACCAGTTCCTCTATATTGTTTTTAATGATCAAGATATGGTGCCAAAATCTTTTTCTCTTGATTTCTTGTAGTAATGTCTTCAACTGCACATCTCTGCTGGGTAATTGTTTATATAGAAAGTTTTATGTATCCTTGTGTTTATATTATGAGTCCTTTTCACTCTTTATTATGTCAAGGATAGATGGAGTGTGTAATAGATGTTGGATGTTGCTCCATCGAAAAGAAAATGTTGTTGTCAATGTGCAACTGCCTTATGACACAACAGGGCTGAAATATATTAACTCTGGTTTTATACCTAATGTGTAGAGAAAGTGTGATCTCAAGCATCCCCCTGGTGACGAAATATATAGAAGTGGTACGCTTTCAATGTTTGAGGTATGCTGTCGAAGAGTCTTCACTGATGCTACTTTCTGTGGTAACTCAAAAAGAAGGAAACGGTTTTTCTTGGTGCAAATTAAGTAAATCTATATGATTCTGGGTTTTTTCAATTCTACCCATTGTTTTAAAGTGCAGCTTTTGAAATTCAATTTTTCAATTCGATTGTATATGAATAAAAAAATCATGAAATCAATAATTTATCTCAATGAATGCTTAATTTTGAAAAGTAGTTTCTGCCTTGAGTAGTGTTTTTTTCTCCCTTATGACTTATAAGTGTAGAAATACTTGTCAGTTTTCACCACTTCTTTTTTCTTTTATTTCTGCTCATTCTGTATATTCCCGTTACATAATTACATGTTTTAGGATGTTGCAGATATTTAATTGTTGTTAATATTCATGTTCTTTTTCTCAAATATTTTGAGACAGGTTGATGGAAAAAAGAACAAAGTTTATGGGCAGAATCTTTGTTATTTGGCAAAGTTAATCCTCGACCAAAAGACCCTTTATTATGATGTGGACTTGTTTCTGTTCTATGTATTGTGTGAATGTGATGACCGAGGTTGCCATATGGTTGGATACTTTTCCAAGGTAATCTTTGAGTGCATTTTTGTTGTGGTTTGATGTCGTGTGGGTTTGTAACAAATGTCTATATATTTGTGACCATTCTTATATTTCATAATTGCAATTTATTGAACATGACATTGAGTGGATGTAATGATTCTTGCCTTTGTAGCCTCAAATTAGAGGCTTTCAAGTGGTAGAATTTGTTGTTTATTTGTGTGTATTTTGGGACTTTCATTTGCTTATACATTCCGTAGCATCTGGTAAAACTCTCTGTAGTTGCCAATCATTTTTTTTGTCTTTTCATCCTTACTTTCCCTTTGTTTTATACTGTGCTTCCCAACACAAACAATCATCTTAGTTAGCAGTTTATGACTGATCATGCAGGGAAAGCATTCTGAGGAATCATATAATTTGGCATGCATCCTTACCCTTCCTCCATATCAACGGAAAGGCTATGGAAAGTTTTTGATTGCCTTCTGTAAGCTCTCTGCCCTCCCCATATTTAATTTTTTGGGGGCTTATTTTATTAATGGATCAGAATATGACATTTATACATTTGAGAGAGGGAGATGATGATGATTGATTTCAGCATTGAATGAGAATGTATCATTGCTATGTACTGGTTGCATAATCTTGAATAAGGAGCATGCCTGAATTGTTAGGTTTGATGCTGCCTCTTGTTTGTTATTGACCTGTTTGCAAATAGCTGTATGTATCAAGTATACAATTTCTCTTAGAATTCTGATTCATGCTCGTACAAAATTTCACTGCATTGTGGTGTGCTAAATACTATTTATGTGCAGAAGCTGAGCGACATGACAGCTATAAAGGCAGAGGATATATTGACGACACTGCAGAGTCTAGAACTGATTCAGTATAGGAAAGGTCAGCATGTTATATGTGCAGACCCCAAGGTGTTGGATCGCCATCTGAAAGCTGCTGGCCATGGTGGTCTTGAGGTTGATGTCAGCAAATTGATCTAGACACCCTATAAAGAACAGAGTTAATGCTGCTGCTGCCTCCTAAAGTAACAGGTTTGAATTACACTTTGTCTACTTAGCAGCTGTTCACTAGGGTTTTATTGTGTTTATATATAAAACAGAAATCTTAGATTATGAGATTCGAAACTCAGAAACTTAGAAGAGCATCTCCCTTCTCACTTGCATGGCGAGTTACAATAGACTTGATTGAAAATAAGTAACCAAATTATATTGTTTTTTTCTTCTTTTTTGCTTTAGATGCCTAAAATTTGTCCATCCTCAACCCCGATCAGAGTTTCCTCATTCTCCTAAAGCCGTTAAAAATTAAGTCTGGATTTGATGAATCAATAGATGGTTTTGTTTATGGATTAAAACACTACTTCATTTGTACTTTCTCCGTCAACGCTTGTTCAGATTCAACGAATCACTTCTTGATTCTCCCAACGTCATTAATTTTCTTTTTGGCTTTAATCGAAGCTTTGATGCAATAGTAAACCGCAGTCAATGATAGAGCTAGCATTGTTGAGGATGAGAGAGAGTTGAGGGTGGTGTAAATAGCAGTGAAGATGAATCTATGAGAGAGAGTTGAGGGTGGTGTAAATAGCAGTGAAGATGAATCTATGAGAGAAAGTTTAGGAGGGTTGTGTAAATTGCAGTAGTGAAGATGAATCAAGGTTTTAATTTCAAACCTTTCTTTCGTCGAACCAACGTCATCCATCGACATGGTTTACAGATATATGTTCAGAATTGGAGATGGTGCTTCTTGTCACGGGAAGCCTTCAAGAAATGAGAAAACTAAAATGGAAAATTTAAAATTATATTAGTATTTGGCAATGAATACCTTATCACCTAAATTCTACCTAATAAATTATTTTCTAATGTAATTGACCATTTATCTTTATCTTTAATTTTATTTTTATTTTTTTTGAATTAAATTTTGGATAACTCGTAATATTAAGGGCTAGTATGATACGGTTTTTAAAAATTGACTATTTTAAGTGTGGTAGAAAATAACTTTTAAAAATATTGTTTAGAAGTATAATTTAAAATTTAATTGTTTGAGATTATTATTATAAAGTGAGTTTGAAAAGATAAAATGTTTATTATAAAAATTATGTTATAAATTAAAAATATAGAATTTAAACTATATTTACTCTTATTAATACTACTATTTTTAAAATATATTACTTAAATTATAATAAAAATATAAAATATGTTTTAAGATAACTTTAAATAATATTTTTATTAATATTTATTAAAAAAATATATTATTAATACTTTTAACACGTGGGTAAAAAGTTATTACGAAATGATAATTTAAATATTTGTTTTGACAAAAAATATTTAAAAAAATAGATTAGTGCTTACAAATTAAAATAAATTTGTTAAACTATCATAAAAATATAAAAATATAAATATAAATATAAATATAATTATAATAAAAATATATTTTATAATAATTTTTTTTTAACATTTCAATATTTAAATCATGAATTTTATTTACTTTTAAATAATTAAAATAAATTATTAAGTAATAAATTATTTTTTAAGAATGTTAATATTAAATTATTAAATAAAATATCAATACATAGTTGAGTGGAGCCTATACATCGATAAGGGTAAGATTATAATTTGCTCCCAAACGTAAAGTTGAAAAATGAAAAAGCTACAAATTCTAGCTTTTGCAGTTGGTTTGAAACCACAATTTTCGCCATAATTTTTTTCATCATTTATCCATTTGACAATGATTTTACGCAAAACGAGCTTTTTAACTAAAAGTGTGTTTAAAAAGCCACACCAAACGAGACCTAACTAAATTTAATGACGTTTTATTTAATATTAGGATAAATGACCTCAGTATGCAAAGCGCGAGGTCCATGATAATTTGAATTTATTGCGGGTAGTATTTAATAAACATCATGACACACAAAGCGCGGGTATATGCATTTTCAACCCACAATACAAGTGTTTATAGGCATGTTCGAGGGGTGTTTTCGGGTAGTTAATCTAAAATTTGTCATTTATAAGATTAGAGTGTAGTATTGGAATTTATCTTTCAATTGATGCCAATATCAACACATATGAGATATTGTAAGCGGGTTAAAAATTTCGTTGAAAAAGGTTTCAAAGCATGTTTTGTACATGAATAAAAAACTAAAATGATTTGATAGATATATTTGAGAGGGATTTTCGGGTAGTTAATATAAAAATTTTCGTTATTTATAAGATTAGAGGCGTGGTATTGTAACTTATCTTTCAATTGAGGCTAATATCGATAAATACATGACATTCTAAGTGGTGTAAAAATCACATTGAAAATGGTTCGAAACCAAAAGAAATTGAAAACTAACGAATATATTTTGTTAATTACAAATGTAGTATAATGAAAAAACACAATTAATCCATACAAGGGCGTGATTGATTAGGACATTTGTTATCATGTGTCAGGGATTCCTACAGATAGTGCATAGTTTCAGTTGTCCAGTTCTTTCTCAATGTTCCACCAAATCCTCGTTACAGTAAATCCACATTAATTGTCAATGATCCTTTTTTTACTCGTCGTAGTGCAAAATCTAGTTGTATTGTAGGTTCATCATCAACTTCATCAGGATCTCATTCATTTTCAATAGGAGGAAACTCATATTGATAAACATTGAATACAGTTTCAAGTAAGTATACTAGATCAATGAATTGCATGTAGTGAATCCGTACAGAAGAACAAGTAATAATAATGTGCGCACACGAGTATTTGAATGTTCGGAATACTTCACAATCGCATGTTCTTGCTTGTACATTAACCACGTATGTTGTAACCCCCTCAGACTGATGCGGGTGACCCGATTCGATCCGGGTTGTCATATTAGGGCCACCGGAGCGACCCACCGTAAAAATATCTGAAAATTTTAAACTTTTTGTTAAAACATGTAACTCATAAAATGATTTATGAATACAAAAGTAAAATTTATCAATATCCAGAAACAAAATAGATATCTGACTCAGATATAAAAGCAAAATACAAGTTACATGCCCCTAATCACATGCACCGTACACCTCAAGCAACGCCGGTGGAACTCCTTTACTGATGTCGATAGTTGCACTGGTACAATTCTTTTAACCTAAAATGGTGAGTCAAGGAGTGAGCTTTGGGAAGCTCAGTAATACAATACTACTAAATGATGCTGAGGAGCATGCAGATAACAAATAAACATGTTTCCTTATTGGTTCAGACATCTACTGACTTTTAAGCTGAGCTGAGGTCCTACTGATATCTCAGGTAGTAATAGACAATAAGCTTTTAGTTCAGAGGGGAAATATTTTGAATGATTGGGTTTAGGAGATCAGAAAAGGGTGTCTAGTGTATTCCCACAAAACCAGTAAAAATGTACAGATCTTTTTAAAATAGTAGCAATTTAAACATATTTTTCAAAAACCATAGTAAAACCCTCCAGCCGAATGCCAATATGCAGTTCCCCCAGAACTGCATCCATAAGGACTTACCGTAGGCCCGCAGAGCGTAGGTACCAACCTAAGAGAGCATATTGGGTCCATAAGGTCTTACCCTAGCCGAAGCGTAGGTGCCCACCTGAGGGGAGTGCCCTCAGGCCCATAAGGACTTACCCAATGAACACAGCAGATGAGCCACCCTAAGGGAGTGCCTTAGGGTCCATAAGGTCTTACCACTAGGCCAATTAGGCCCAGGAGCCCACCCAAGAGTCACCTTAGGTCCATAAGGAATTACTAGTCGGTGTTTAACCTATACAAGGAATTACCAACAGCGACTGAACCTGCCAGTGTCTTCAGTCATACCAAAGTCCCAGAGTACCCCGTATAAAATAATTTCAGTATGTAAATGGAGTTATCAGAAATCAGAGCAGAATCAGAGATTAGAATAGAAATCAGAGATCATAACATATATCATAGTTCAAGACAGAAATCAGAGGTCATATCGTATTCCAGATAACAAATTCATACTTTTAAAATAAGAGAAAATATCCATGATGATCAGGGAATACACTAGAAAGTTCCAGATATTATTCGGAAGTACTTGATAATCTAATTGGAAATGAAACACAAATCTTCAGTATACCTTTAGAATACCAAAAGTTAGATTCACTATTGAAAGAGTTCATTATCTGATGAGATCATCGGTTATTCAGAGCGTGACTTATCAGGATCATTTATTCAAACATTTTTAGGAGGCACAAGTATTTATAAAGTTTTTCAGAATCCTTTGCATCTGAGTTACTTGTGTTTTCATATATGATCGGAGTGATTTAATTATTCAAGAAAATCATAACGCACTTTGAGGCATTAGGTTCTTGGAGAATTCATAGTGATTTGAGCTGAATGGGAGAAGCGAAGATTTAGGGCATTAACGATTTGTGTCTATCTATCGGAATATCGAGTTAACTCAAGCTGAATAATTCCTAGAACTAATGCATGTCAACCGGTCAATCCGTTTCCCTTTTAGGGTATTCACTCTTTAATAGCAACACTTCTTGTCCGTAGATCATCTTCAGAATCATCACTGAATGGATCTTAGAGATGGTACAATATCCATTCTTATTTGGATTCCTTAAATAATCTAAGACATTTGCTTATTCTAGGTTATAAGGGTATTTTTGTCATTTTACAGATCCAGGGTATTTCAATCATTTCCTTCCATCCGATCTTATTATTTAATTCAAAATTATCATCTATTTCAGTCATTTCGAACAATTCTGACAAAGGAACACCCTCGATAAATTATTCTTCAGGTATTTACTCATAACTCAAAGATTTTCGGGAGGAATTTTCTGTACTAAAGTAAGATCTTAGCAATTAAATCAGTAATTTATCGGGTTAGGTACGAATTCTCAGGGTGTTTTCTCATTCAGGGTCAACTCTGACTATTTTTACCTCTCAAGGGTGTTTTCATAATTTTTTAACCAGGTAATTTCAGTATTAAAACTGTTAACAAAGATAAATAGAATTTAGAGATCCTAGGGTTAATTGCTTTTCCGAATAATATCTGAACTTGAAATTATTCCTTATCAAACTTCTAATATCTTGTACAAGCCATCAAAATTTTATTCAGTTACCAACTTTTTACCTCATTCAGATCGAGTGTAGGAACTAATTAAATACATAGATGAGACCACATTTTAATTAATGCATTTACCAATACCAACATGTTCCATAAAACATGCAAAGAGGTAGTAAAGTATTACCTCGATTTTTATACCATATCGATCGACCAATTAATCTCCATTCGATCGCTCTCGATTTT